CATGCGAAAATGAATACACAAAATCTCTATGAAAAAAGAGTAGGTAACAACTATGGCTACGAAAAACTTACTTGCTGCTCTTTGACTGTTGAATTTTCTTAGAGCAGTGACTCAACTCCTGTTCAGCATGACCCAGAATGTTTTTTTCCTACATCACACCTGTGACTCATGACAATGAGAAGCTCAACCTGAAATCATGAGGGCAGGCAATGTTTCAAAACAATATGATACAAATGCACAAAAACTCACTCTTCAGATGAAGACCAGAAAACCTATGGACACTACAATACAAGCAATTCGCAATAAGTTTGGCATAAACCGTTAAGTTTAAGTTTGAGTGCGATTGGTATGCAGACAACAGGCGAGAAAACAAATTACAAAGGCAACGGTACTACACTAACTATTACCCTTATTACCCTTATCCCTGAAATAACGGCTGCTTTAATAAAAACATGAATGTCTTTCAATCCCAATTTTTCGGAAAGGAAATTGTAGTCGATATACACCTCACAACCGAAAATAATGCAACTTGTTTATAAGTAAATACAAAATCAAACAAATCACAATGACCAAGATACAACAATGACGCACAAGAAACCAAATTGGCGCAAAATAGCTGCCAAACTACACGATTTGGTAGCATTTTGAAAAATTACTTCATGACAAAGGTAACTTGTGAGTCATTTCTCTTCAACAACTGTGCTCAGTTCAAGCGGTCCGAGGGTCCGACATAAATCTGGCTGGACAGCATAGATTATAAAGTATCGAAGAAACATGCGCCCCGGCGCCCCAGTCCATTCAGCATGTGTTGGATCGCCTGGAATTTGCCAACGACAGACACTTGGGAGTAGAAAATACCGTGACCGAAATTGAAATCATTCCGAACCGGCGAATCACCTCTCTTCAAACTCTGATCACCATACGATCTTATCTCATTGTTTGAAGAATTTAGGAGCCAATGAGCTTACCGCCGCATTGCTAGACTGGTGGTTCAGATGAAGTGTAGGTAGGGTATAAAGTAATTGATAATAGGTATACACTAGGGTTACCCGCGTGCTCCGCAACGCGAAGGGGGGGATTTTTTGACCCGTGGGTATTGGGTTGGTCTGTGTCGATTTGGTTGGTAGATATCCATTTCGTTCGATTGCTTTTTGACGGCCAAGCATTTTGTAAGAAACAAAAAGATACATCGCATCGAGGTGCCCGTGTCGTATTATCATACGTTCTACTTTAGAATGATTCGAAAACTGGCGTGAAGTCTTTTGAGGGCCATCGATGAATTTCGCTAAAAATGACGATGCAATGGTTTGGAAAATTTACGTTTTTGAGAATACTGTTGCTCATCATGCAAAAATGAAGACTTAACCTTGGTCAGAATTGAATGCTCTTTCCAACGGTGCCATTTTTTATTGCCAGATACATCAGATCATGGAGCAAAGCCATTTTGATGAACAAAGTGACACAAAATTGACAAACACCATTTTCTCCCGTGATTTGTACCACCTTGATTTGGATCAATCAGCTTTTCACAATTTTTATATGATAGGCGGTACATCTCTCTTGCCAACAGGCGTTGTTCCAACTCGCCCTGTTTAACGGTCACCTAAAAATAAAATCAATTCCAAAATCCGCCAAAAACCGCAATTTTTCAACAAAAGTGCCCTCCCCGGTGCACGTGGCGCGTGCTATCCTCTGTATCGCACACGATTCCATTGCCCATTCAATTATCTACACGATGCTGTTTTCTCCGTGCCGGTCGGACCCCTGGTCACCAAGATATTGCACGGGAACTGGACCCGTGTCGGCCAAAATTAGCCGTTTTCGCCCGATTTCGCACGCCGATTTATACATGTAAAGTCTATGACGCGAATTTGCACTTTTTGAGCACGCGCCACGCGCTCCCTATCAATCCGATCGAGAAAAGACCCCTCAAAGGCACGTCGCGCATCCTTGATCTATAAGTTGTGCAAATTTCACCGGGCTAGGTGCAACGGTCTGGCCTGTAGTCCACGCAAAGCAGCACCAAGTCGGGACCTCGGTAACGGACAGACGCACCCTCCTCAAATAGTAATATAGACAAGCGGCTGCGCCACTTGCTTTGCTGCGTGGTAGGAAAAAATTGCGGCACCAGCCAATTTGCTTTCGAATGGTGTTTGATTCATGTCGATGTGTCGTCTAGAAGCATAGATATGGACGGAAATGTGAAGAGAATTTAAAAAAGAACTGTTCTGAGGGCGTTGGTGGATGAAATTTGGGTGATACGGGGTCAAGACGGGTCAAAGGGGTCAGCCCCGGTCACTTTGGGTCAGGCCAGGTCACATAGGTCACCTCTCGTCCGCTGGGATCAGCCCGGGCCACTGTTCTGCTTTTGTCTCCACCACTACCCCTACCCCTACCACTACCCCTACCACTACCACTACCCTACCACTACCCCTACCCCTACCCCTGTCCCCTACCACTACCCCTACCACTACCCCTACCACTACCCCTACCACTACCCCTACCCCTACCACTACATCTACCCCTACCACTACTACTACCCATACCACTACCCCTACCACTACCCCTACCACTACCCCTACCACTACCCTTACCACTACACTACCCCTACCACTACCCCTACCACTACCCCTACCCCTACTCCTACCAACACCGCTGGGTCATGTCAGGTCACAGAATAATTCGTGCCATTCCATTGCCCTTACTCGATTTTGTCGGAAATGGCGCTTTGTGGCAAATGTGGCGCATTGCGGCAAATGCGGCGCATCTGTACCTGTTGTTTGAGCATGCATCTTGACACCAAATTACACCCATATCGGACTATATTTGACAAAACTGTGCGAGTTGCGGCGAAAATGACGCCCTGAGATAATTGTGGCGCATTGCGGCAAACGCGGTGCATTTGTAAACTCGTATCACAAACTGTTGCCATTCAACGAAAATCTACACAATCTCTCGCCACTATTTATTCAAATTAAAACTTGCCCATCCGCCAATGCGAGGTACTCGCCGCCGATCGGCATGCATTTAGTCCCCAAAGTTTGTCGACCCCGGCTCTCAATGAAGATCTACGAACCGATCAAACTTCCATTGGCGTTCTTCCAGCGCGCCCCACGCGCGAACCGTGCACCCCAGCGAGTCGGAACCTAGAAAAGGCGCTGACCCGGTCTATCACCTATAAGGTGTGCAAATTTCAACCCCCTACGATATACCGTCTGCCCTGTAGGCGAGTGGAATTGAACCCACTACCCATCCAGGATGATGCGCCTGGATATATTGCAGACGGTGCGAACTGCAATATATTGGGGAGACCAAGTGCGGACAGACAAACAGACGGATCCTGTTCAAATAGTAAGATAGATATGTAGGTATCCTATGCCACTTGCCCATGCTCCCCCCGGCCCCTCCCAATTTCATTTTTTCATTTTTTAATGCTGATAAAATTTATGTTAGGGAAAATGCTTATGCATATCACTTGAGCAGTAACTCAAAACGCTCGCATGTGTAGGGGGGGGGGGGTCGGATGGACCCCCCATGGTTTTTCGCGAATAACTCGCGTAAAAAGCGGCCGATCGCAACGAAACTTTCAGTACCCTCGAGTTGATCAATTTTACACCTACCCTGAAAATTTCATGACCCTGACCCAAGAGACCTTTGACCTGTGACCTATTTCTCGAACCCATGTTTGGCCGGAATCGCGATTCGGCGTACCTATGTCGGCTCACACAAGTCGCGCGTTCATGCAAGCTTCTCGTGGTTTCAAACGTTCAAACATGTGAGTTGATGTTGCTCTCATGCATTTGGGTGGATGTCAAGGTCACCTGAAGGTCAGGTCAGGTCATTGACCTTTGGTGACTTCGGTTCACTTTGTCGAGCTATACATACAATATACATGTTTCTAGGCTAGTTTTTGGAGCTGAATTCGAATTTAGAAACTATTTGAACATTTACGAAGTAGTTTTAGTGCCTTCGTAACATGTTACGAAGCTGCCAGAGGCGGTTGACACGTACTACGAATACCCGTCACGACCCCTACTGGTTGACCTGACCTGACCTGACCCGACCTGGTCTAAATGCGTAAAGACATCAGCTGTGATCAAAATTAACATGATATTCGTGATCAGCACCCCGAAAAACCCCTTAGCAGCCACGCTTTACGACTTTTTAACAGGTCCAGATTTTCCCGACTTTGGGTCATTGACCTGACCTGGAAGGTCAACTAATGAACTAGGACCTTAAAATTGGGTATCATCGGCTTCCTCTTGTCACGGGCAGCACGCTCGTTTTTTCTGCGAAGCTCTAGCTTAATCAGGGGCCAAACGGCAAGGGGGGTCCAACCGACCCCCCCTTACACATTAGAAGCTGGCAAACGCCGCACACATGCGAAGAACTCTTAGGCGATAGGGGGACAATGCCAAGGCTGGGTTTTTCGCCCCTCGGTGGCCCTGGCCGGCGTGGGGTCTCCCGGAGGCCAGCGTGCGTGTGTGTATGTGGGGGGGGGGAGGATTCAGAGGTCCGCTCAGGGTCTTCAGTCAGAGGGTTGTGTGGTGCTCTCAGAGACCGTTATTTCCCGGGCGATTTTTATGGGCAGCCCTCGTAAGACCGGCTTGTGAACGTTGAAGAAGGTGTGGGCCTCAGGCTCAGAGGTCAGCTTGTCTGAGTCTCAGAAGTTTGCTCCGACTCCAGTCCCCGAAGATCGACCTGTAAGCCAGATAACGACATAGGCTCTCAGGGCCTACCTGTGGCTCTATAACCCAGCTCAGGGACTAATAGGTGGATATCCATATACAATTCTAAAGAATAGTGATTGTCTTAATTAATAATTGAAAAGTCCCAACCTTCGGATATGTACGTTTAGTGGCCTGAGAGAATATGAGTTCCAGCATGTTGGTAGCAACTAGCAACACGGTCAGTTTTTACATTTCCAGTGCCGTTTGTGACGTCACACTCCGAGTGTAGTGACGTCACTGACGCGGCGCGCCGGGCCGGTCGGTCGGCTCGTCGACCAGTCGCTGGCCGGCCGGTGAAAGGGAGAGAGGTCGACGCGCGGCCGTACGGAGTTCGGAGGGCACCGCCGCGACGGTCCGCACTGCCGCCGGGAGAAACGTGACGTGAAGCCGCGCCGTGACGGCAGCCGGTCGTGACCGGGTGTGACGCTCGATCGTGACAGCCGTGACGCTCCCAGACACCGGTGGTGACCCGTGACGATCCGTGTATAACGCCGGTGTGACGATCATACCAGCGGTGCAGGGACCGGGGACCAGCGATCGTCCCGAACCCGCCACGATCTGCGGAGTCACGGATCGGGGCTGCCGCCGAATCCCCGTGAATCCGGACACGAGTGTCGGCTGAGCCCGTGGGTCCGCCTGCGGGATCCGCTTTGGGGCATCCCAGGGGACCAGCGTGCGCCGCTGGCCTTGGTCCACTCGTGGGATCATCCTGAGATCGGGGCGGCAGTGCGGAAAGGATCCGGGCCGGGCCGTGACGCCGGCGGCGGAGGGGAACCGTACAGTGGTGGTGTTGGCAGTACACGTGCTGGTTCTGAGGAGCGGACGGAGCGGCTGTCTGTGACCCGCCGGCCGGACGGGGGACTCCCGTGACGTCCCGTGACGGCCGGTGACGGCGTGTGATGGTGACGTCGGCCGTTGTCGTCTGACGGTCTCGGTGATGTCGGGGCGGCGGCCGGGCCGGACCGCCGGGCCGGTGCCGGTGCTCTGCGCCGCTCTCCCGCTGCTGCTGTCGCTCGCAGAGCTGGTTCAAGGTGAGCTTCTCTCCCCCTCCCGGTCCGTTCAGTACCCCGCCCTCTGACCCGGCCCGTCAGCTGAGAGTGGGCGCGCCCGCCGGCCCGACAGAGGGGTGCAGGATGTGGGGTAACGCTCCGCCATTCATCAGCGCCTGTTTGTCGACCCTACCCCGTGTCGCGCGCCGGGGGTGGAAGTCTGACTTGGAAAGTTTCGCCGAGGCACAAAAAGTGTTCCGGTGGCGCGCCCGGCTGTTGAATACCGCACTTTTACTACTTGTCCCTCCCGTCACTGGCCCGCTGCATATTTACCATATAGCCATTATGATGCACTCGTTAAAGTCGTACCGATATAAAGAAATGTCTATCCATTCATAAAATATAAAATTTTCTATTTATAGTTAGCACCATAATTGGCTACCAAAGATAGTCGGTAATTAGACAAACTTTCCATCACTTTTTAGTAGGTACCTACCTACAAGGAAACTAAATTTGGTCAATCGACAGACATGATGTGCTCGTCTGAAGTTTCATTGTTAATAAGTTTTGTCACTTTTCCCAGCGCGGAAGGACAACAAAAGAGCTTCAGTCACCAGCAGTAACAAGGCGAATTTCACAGTAATGACCATCAATTCCCACGGCCGCCTGTTTACGACGATGCCCGGGTAGCGAGGCGTTTTTGCCGGTACCCGACCCAGGGTCACATTTCTAACGCAGCGCGTGCTGCATGTTCCCCGGCTCGCCACTCGGAGCGCCGGCGGCCTGGCCAAGTGGCCCACTGCCGGCTGAATGGGGAAAACTGCGAGGTGCCGGCGGCGCGGCGGCTCGGCGGCTGCAGGCGCCAGTGAGAGTGGAGTGGTGCGGCGCCCGTCCAGCGCCGTCCCACGCCAGAGCAGCGGCAGGGCGGTGCCGGACCCGCCTGCAGGACAGGAGCACTGAGTCAGAGCCGGCCCTGCCCGCCCGCGTGGGAGACACACCGTGCACAGCGGACTATCCCAGCGGGGCGTGGGGCGCGGTGGATGGCCGCCCAGATACAGATCTGCCAGCCCACTCAGGAGCTGCAGAACGGCCATGACCACGCTACCTTCGAGGGTCATGAAAGTCGTGTCCGTTTCGTATCTCCCGAAACCATGAGAACGGCAGTGGCTTATGCTCTCTCTAAGCATTGGATACCATTCACTCCCCTCCAGATCAGGAGAGGCCCACCTTATTTTTTCCAGACGAGGCCCGAAGGACGCTTGACTGTTCTCTTTTTTTCATGTATATTTTACATTATATAGGCGCGCTCACAATCAGACTTCACAAAACTGCATCTGTCATCTTCACAACGGCACCTGTCACAAAGAACGGCACACGCAAGTTGCCCAGATTTGCCATTTGTGGAGCGCGCGGCAAGTGCTTCCGTCTGAGGCGAGGATTCTGTACTGTACACAGTACACACACACACGCGTACGTATACACGCATAGGCGATTGTTGCCTCAGGGCGGCCAAGTAAATGGGAAAGAAAAACAAAGGATGAAAAAAGACAAAAGAAAGGACAAAAACGCGCATAAAAATCATACAGTACCCACATGAGCAACCGAGAGAAAAACAGGAACACAAAAGGGTAACATAAAATGGTATCATTTCACACAATGCTCGTAACGGGATCGTGACACGAGAGGCATCGAAGGAAAACACAGTAAGACACGTAATGGACAACCTAATACAACAGAATGCAAATAATGTTGAATTAACTAAGAACGTTGACCACACTGCTACAACTAGGCTACTGCTCGAGTGCTTAACACTGAGGAGGTTCAGAGATAGCATAACCTACTCCTTAATCGCGAACCCGAGTTCCCGCAGTTTACCAGTGTCCTCTACGCGTGTACTCGTGCCGAACTTCTCGGCTTTAAAATAAACATGCCCCCACCTGGTAAAGACGGTATACAACTTCTTGGCCCTCTTCGCGTCCAAGAGAGAGCGGTAGATGGTGCTTTTCTGGGCGGTCAGGCTCTCGTTTATGAAGAGGTCGTTGTGGTGTCGCAGCTCCAGTCTCCGGGTCATCAGTTGGTCCCGGACGCTGTTCTGTCCGGACTGGACGAATCTGACGATCACGCGGTGGTTGGGACCGGGCAGCCTATGCGCCCGATCTATGTCCTCTTCACGTATGTCGAGTCCGGGTAGACGATCCTTCACCGCGCGGATCACCAGACCGCAGATGTCCTCCACCTCTGCCGTGTCACGGCCGCCGCGCGCCCGCTCCGGGGCGGCGACTCCCGGGCCACTGGCGGTGGGCGGCCGATCAGACGGGCCGGCGCCAGCTGACCCGCCCTGGGGCGCCGACTCGCCGGCCGGCCGCAGAGGCGCTCCCAGGCGCGCCTGCCGCGGGGCAAGGGCGCGGCCGGACAAAATGAGGCAGGGGATTCGCGAATTCATCTCCGCGCTTTCTGCTCTCTCGCTGGCTTGACTGTTCTCGCCTCCCGGTCGTGAGAGCCCAGACTTTCTCGGTCTTGAAGACTTTATCATGTATCTTAGCTACAGGAGCGTATAAACGCTGCACTTTCATCAGTAAGGACCCGGCTTGCATTATCCATCATGATGCCAACATGTTTCAGTGATGAAGATCCCAAACTAGGTATAATCCAGGCATCATCGGCGATGTCATGATCCATGTCCAATCGCGTATCAAGGTGCGGCAATGAAGCCCAGGCGATGAGTCAAACGTTTCTCTCAGCCATGAGCATTTCAGTCTGTCCTAACAAACAGCCCACGTTGACTTCGGTCCGTGAGAACCGTTCTCAGAGTTGAGCGATCTGACGACCGGAACCGGTTCTGTCCGCTCACTGTGAGGGAGGATTGACCGCAAACGCGAGCGCCCCCTCCCAGATCGGTACCCGAGCCCCCCCCCCCCTCCCCCCAGCCGACCCGGCTCGCAGTGCCAAAAAGAACGCCCCGACACCGGCTAACAGCGCTCTCAATTGTTCCTCACATCCGCCACGTGGCATGTTGTAGCCCTACCGACCTTGGCTCCGGGCTTCATTTGCGCCGACCGCCATGCCGCTCGGCCGCCATTGTGCCTGCACTGGAACGACAGAATGACAGGAAAGGAGTGTTTGAGGGCAGAGTTTAGCGGGAATGTTCGGGATGGATGCCCAAGAGCGACGTAACCCCGCTTCAAGGATATTGGACATGAACTGATCCAATGTCAACAATTGGTGTCGAAATTATACATTGCTCGTTAAAAATAGTTATTCGGCAAAGTTAAGAAATTCCAGCCACATTTAAATGTTAGTCTGTTCTTCTCTATTCGATATCCGACCATTTGAAACGTTGGGACATTGCTCTGTCGCCTCTTTATCAGTAGACGGTCGGCGCTGACCTTCGCTCCGTGACTGGTCCTCTCTCAGTGGTTGTCGCTCCCCTGTCAGACACCGTTCTCTGACCACAACGGACCGTGTTATACGGCCGACCAGCTGGGCTGGCGGTCCCACCGCGGCCTCCCCCGAGCAGCACCCTCCCTTCAGTCGGCATCTCAGTAAAAATCCGCCGGAATCGTGTACCACAGCTCTCCCAAACCGGTCGCCGAGCTGTGGGCCACGGCGCTGGAGAGGGAGGGTGGGTGGGACGGAGACGGGCTCCTGTGGACGGCAGGGCACGGGCGGCACAGCGACAACACCTGCACAGGGCTCCCGAACGACCGTGGAAGGAAAAGCAGTCACACCGGTCCGGTAATGGTGAGCCCGGATTTGAAGACATGGCACGGGGCCGAAGCAAACTTTTTCGCTGTCTTTTTATAACGGGTCTAAAGATGCCAGGTCGCCGTGTCATGCTGGATCAAGGTCTCTGTCGATGCAGTTACAAAGCACACAATGCTGCATAACGGCATTGACCATGGTATTCATTGAGGTGGAAAAATATACCTATAAGAAGGCGAAGGAGGCAGGGATATGAGCGGAGAAAATATAGACCATGGGCCTCACGGAGCAATGCTATTAAATAGGTCTTCATTGTTTGAAGTACTCGTACCTGTAAGTTACAACAATATGTGTGCATCATGCAAAGCGTATATTTTCTGCATAACATACATATGCATATAATGACTATCATCTGGCAGCATCAGTCGCTCTTTAGTTTAACTGTCAGTGCGATGAGACAAACCCATTTGATTGCATCTACAGCATTTTAGGCGCAATTTCAAAAAGTTAAAGACCAAATTCAAAACGTTCACGTGCATTTTGAATGTAAACTTTTTGAATTTGGTCTTTAACTTTTTGAAATTGCGCCTAAAAAGGTGTAGTTATGTGCTACTGATGAAAGCTGTCTGTAAGTTCTGAGTAATTAATCAGCTATCGGCTTTCTCCCCGATCGCCAGCCGCCCGATCTGGCGATGCCTGTCGGTAGCTCTGTGATATGCGTCGGCGGGGTCCGGGAGCCCGATCTGGCGACGGTCCGACCCCAGGAGAGAGTGGGGCCCTCGCCGCCCCCGCCCCCGCCCCGGCCGGGTCCGGTCCCGTGACTGGCTCCGTCCGTTAGTTGTCAGGCGGCCGCCGCCAGAGACTGCAACATCTCAGCAGTCACTAACACCGACGGCGGATGGTGCACTGCGGCACAGCATCGGACTGAGCGGCAGGCGGCGACGGACAGAAGCGGGACTATCACTAATCATGGACGGCGCTTGGAGGCGCAATGAATTTTATATTTTTTGCATCGGCTGCATTGCATGCTATGTGATGCAGTTTTAGAATGTATGCGAGCTATAGGGACAATTTCGGCAATACTCTTCCAGTTCCAGCCGCCGAACTCATCTGAATAGGAGACGGTCGAGCGAATCAGCACAATCGGCGTTTCTCTGAGACGGGGCGGCAGCTGGCGTCCGTGTACGGTCCGTAACCTTGGACGGGTGATGGCGGCGGACGGACTAAATAGCGACTGCGCTAAATGACGTCACCGGACCACATGACTCGGTACCTGGCGACCAGCCCGTCAAGGCCAGCTCCTAAGTGGATCTCTGTGTATGATTGCTTGACATACCCGGCATTTAATGCTTGGCTGGGTCACCATGCTGAGTTACCGCGACTATTTACTGCGGTTAAAATACTTCCTGTTCTGCTCCGCTGCGTACACAATGCAATACCTATCAGTCAGAAATGCATTTAGCCTTGGTTTGTGCGGACACGGCGTTATAACTACCGATTGCCGTCGACTCATTCCATGAGAGCCCGAGCCTGTCTGCTCGCGCCGGCCTGGTCCTATAGGTGGTTAAGCCGGGAATGAGGAGCAGAACACTTATAAGTGTGTTGAATTAGAATAAGAATAAATTCTTATTCTAATTCAACAAGTATCAAGAACAACAGGTTCAAAGAACACTTATAAGAATAAATTCTAATGAGCAATTTTCAACAAGCGTCTCATTTTAAAATGCAAAGGCTTCCGAGAACCAAGTGAGCCGTTCAATGTTTCCAATTGGAGTGCTGTATATGAATATCGTGTTTTGTCCAGCAAACGGCAGTCAAACGATTCAATATTGTGTGACGGGTGAATGATGATGCAGTGGCTCAGCTAAGCCATTTTGTGATACCGTGACCCAGCAAAGCAAACTTGGTCCCTATGCATATTTTCCTTTAAAAACTTATTTAATGTCATATAATTCAACTCTAGAATTTAAAACGCGAAAGACTGGTTTCTCTTCGACCTATACGATCAAAGACGTAACTCCAGTTCATAATAATTGTTCTTTATCTAATTTGCCGTAAACGGTAATCGGAACCACCTGTCAGGCCCGCCTGGCTGTTTAGCTCCAGTATAAGAGCGCAAAACGTTTCCGGACCAATTTGGGTCAATGTGTCCAAGTGCTTCCATATAAGTATCGTTCTGCAGTCATTATCACTGCACCCTGATTGCAGCTCATTGTTTTGTTTCGTCCTCATTCATCTGGAGTATGCTCATGAATTACCACTATTTGTCTACCAGGTGGACTAACTGTTATTTTCCGACTAAGTGCGAAGTTGAGGTACGCCAATTACATAATGACGGACAGTCTAGTCACTAGTCTGTGATTATACATCTCGCACAAAAAGACAATCTTTTAGGAAGGAATTGTGTGTCTTTGTCTTATCTTATTTACTTATCAGTTTGTTTATAAAGTGATCACCAACGACCATGCATAAAATGACATATAAGTCAGTCAGAAAAATTATTTTCCCGGGATGTCTTATTTTTCGAGAACTATTCCTTGAGATATGACTTGAGTGTCATTATGAAAAACTTTTCCTCAGGATAGGGGAGAGTGGGGTAAGATGCCCAGGGTGGGAAAGACGCCCCACCCCCTCTAGCGGGGAAACAAAGAATCGAACCTGGAAATTAATGTTCTTAGCGTAAAGCAGAAGCCTGCCTTGTTAACTGCACAAAAATTTGCAAAGCTCAGTTGGGCAACGGCTGGCTGGTGATTGCATGTTTTTTATTTGCTGCTTTCAAAAAATATTTTGGCGTCAAAACATTGTAAATATCAAAAAAGGTAGATAATTTTTGCGTCCCTTGCTATAGTCGTGATACATTAACATGCGTGTACTGTGTCCCAAACAGTTTGTTTCAGGGTGTAGTTTTATGGCTAACAAATTGTGCTGATTTAATGTTACTTCGGTACCTTGGGGTAAGATGCCCCCTGTCCTGATGGGGAAAGACGCCCCCCTAAATCCGTAGGCTGTCCTTCAAGCAGCCCGTCAAATCATGTATTACATACTTGTGATGAGAGACAAAAGCCGATCTGGGACTATTGAGAGTCCGGTACGGTCGGGTGCTCCCCATGCCGGTCTCTCGGCCCACACAGCGACTTCTTGGGCGGCATCTGACTCTGAGAGCCCTCACGACGGCCTCTGTGGGCCCCATTATTGGTTCTATGGCCCCTCACGACATCCTTTGAGGGCTCCCACGTTGGCACGGGCCGCGCTGGCATCTGAGGTCCCCACGATGGGCTCGAGGGCCCTCAAGCATCATGAAGACCTATAAGGGCCCCACAGTGGTCTCTGAACGCCACCACGGAGGCTTGTTTGGCCACGCTGGACTATGATGGCCCTAACGATGACCTCTGAAGCCCCTTACGACTACTTTTGAGGGCCCTTACGATGACGTTTGGTGTCTACTGCAGGCTCGAAGGGACTACTGATTCGTTCAGGCGATTCACGTGCCTATTTATGTCACTTTTAGTGCAGGGGGCATCTTACCCAGCGCCAGGGGGCGTCTTTTCCACCCTGTGGGGTAAGATGCCCCCTTTCACTTCTTCAGGAAAATGCTTGATAGCAAAAAAAGTTATCATATTTCAGGCACGAAAGTGTGATATTTTTGGAGAAAAATGATGTCGGCTTCCGTTGAAACTCCAAGTTTTGGCTTTCCGATCGTCATTTTTAAATAATATATGACATAGTCAAACCCTGGGCATCTTTCCCCACTCTCCCCTACGTAATTAATGTTTAAGGGTTCTTTTGAGTTATTTACCGAAATATCTGGATACATGTTTGCACGTATCCTCTTAAATATGTAACTCCGAAAAACCTTAAACATTAACTATTTTACAAAAAAAAAAAATAAGTAGCCCTAAGACAAAACATAAACGGATCGTGCCTGTGACCGAGAGTGCCAGAGGCGAATGGTGAGAACGCTCTGCATTCATACCAAAGACTCATTCATACAGACTCTCTCTCCTATAGAAGCATGAGATCATCTTTGAGGTCACATTTCAGGTCACGCAGGTGAGGGGTTCACAGGCTTTGCAATCCCGCCTGTGCTCCCCATCCGTAGAGCACGTGACCGGGCGTATCGCCGGGCTTTCCCTGGCAGTTGGGTCACATAGTCCTGTGACACATAGACACATAAAGTCACTGTGGGAGGGGATGATCTTTGACACGCGATCAGTGCCAGAAAAAAAAACATTAAAAAGCGATAAAAGATTGGAACACTACAGACCATTGTCATACGTGTTAGTGGCATTCTGGAAGGCATACCTACATATTTCACGCTGAGTGACTCGATTGCAGGGCTGTTTTGCATGTTCCGCTTCTGTTTACGGGGCTGTGTTTAATGGTGACGTTTGTCTGTTTCTGTCGACAGGACTATGTCCGTCGCCGGCGGTGAAGCTCAACAGTCGCGTCAGCTACAGCTCCGAGCAGCTGTCGGAGGGCACCGTAGCCACCTACAGCTGCGACCCCGGCTTCGTCCGGCTCGGGTAAGTCGCTGTGGGTCGTGTGATGACGCCACTGTCCGCTAGCTTCTGTAACGGTGGCAATGTGCGGTATCGTTGGGACAAAAAAAAAACAAAACAAAACTATCCGGCCTTTAGGCTAGGTACCATATAAAACCCACACATACCTGACGATACATTTATTGACGACGGACATGCTATGCGTAGTTAAATGCAACAGCGGAAAATGAAAGGGATCTGGAAAGCGGGCCACACCAACATGAGTTCTACAATTGTCAAATTCCAGCATTAGCGCCGCCTTTTACACAGATAGGTTCACCGTCAGGGCCGGGCCCTAACCGACCATGACTCGTCATCGTCGCCACGTCTCCGGAAGGTCTGAAGGGCAGGCCCGTGATGGCCGGGAAAGTCTGGGAAGTCACGACCGCTCGGTTCGTGCCGAGTCTGGGAAACTCGATCCGTCAGCGTCCCTCCCCCACACCACCTCCCTCCCTAGAACGTCTCCCCGGGTCAGCGACGGGGGGCACAGTCAGCTATTGTCACCTGACGCCGTGCCGGGCCGGCCAGGCAGACAGACAGACAGACAGACAGACAGACAGACAGACAGAAAGACAGACAGACAGACAGACAGACAGACAGACAGACAGACAGACAGACAGACAGACAGACGGACGGACGGACGGACGGACGGACGGACGGACGGACAGAAACAGAATTAGTTGTCGGCAATTTCATTGGAAGAGACGATAGAAATGCGTCGAGCAGTAGAAAACAAAAGAGACGGCCACTGCTTTTGCTGACTGTACCATGAGTGACGCTACCGAAGTCATTCTCAGGCATTATGCATAGACCGCCGCAGGATGTAACCCAGGCCCTTGTCTAAAACCGGATAAATAAATTGCCAGAAGGTCGAGGCTAACTTGCATGGCATTCTAAACGTTTTGCACTCCTCACTCAAAATAATGCTCGGCTCAACATGACGCTAGCTAGATAGGGCTTATTGGTTCTGCCCAGATTACCCCATTACTATCCCTGCACACATATCTCTTTTTCCTATGTGATCCGTTTAAAAGAGCACGGCCGGACTCTAGCCCCGCTCTATCCACCCTTTCCTGTGCGCAGAATGCCAGTACGGGGCGGCGCCGCTGTGCCAGCCCCCGGGTGGGCCCCGCCCTATGACGGACATACTGTGACCTTGGGGGGGGGGGAGTCCGAGGTCCGCAGAGCGTCGCCCTCGGACCGGCAGGAAGTCAGAGATCATCCGGGTATCACCTCGGCGCCAGGAACGGGCGGCGCCGTCCTCTTACAGAGGATAATTGTGACAGTTGTGTGTCTGTTTATGAAGGCGTGTCTTAATTACGGTAAACCGCAAATGCGCTGTTATAAATGCTGTTTAAGAAGCCGTTAAAAGCCTCTTAAATGTTAATTATTGCGGTGGTTGATCTGATGATGTTTGCATGAATTTCAGATTCATGAGTTCGTAAATCGTAATAGTGTGAATTTATAACACGTTTTTTTTGTTGTTAAAGTTTTACCCCTAGTTTTGATACAATATTTTACTTTAAATGAGCTAATTAACTCAGCTCTTCTCTACAAAAGCAATTCAGAATTTTTCGTCTGTATCATATCTTTGTTAAATGTTCCCTTTACTTCGATTGAAGCATCTACTCAAGACGGAAAAACTCAGAAGTCCATCCATGGCATGAAACAAAACGTTCTCATTCGAAGACTTTTTTTTTTTTACTTTCGGCTGAGCAAAATCACTTACCAAGTTCAACCGCAAGCAGTGACGACTTCAGTACCTACAGGCATTTTTCATTTCCGCAACTCAACCGGCTCGAAAACAATTTAAATTGGGCGTGCGCGCGCGATCCGTTATCTGATAACGAGGTCTCAGTGCCGATCGTGCACTGACGGTGCGTTTCACCCAATATTTCGTCCGGTCAGCGGCCCGTCAGCATTGTCCGATGTCTGATTACCCGTTCCGGAACATTGCCGTCATCCTCGCCTGCGCGGGCCCCTGACAGGTCGATTGAATAGGCGGAAAATACCAGCACAGAGTCCCGTTACCGAGTACCACCTCGGCCTATGTATTTACAGCTGTCCGGGTACTCAGGCCGCGAGCCACGCAAACGCGATCACTTAGGTATAGCATGAACGGAATGAGGATTTTCGTTGGCATGAGTAATGCTAGTTTAAGCTAGTGGTTTATGCAAATGCTGCATGTCATTCGAGTACATGTTCAGGATGCCCTTTTTATTCCAAATAAACAATACCTTTAACCTTATCCAACACTTCTAATTCCCAAGAAAGTGAAACACGCTGCCTGTCCTTTACAAATGTTAGGTATAGCAGGTGTATGTTTAAGATTGTTTTGTTTAGTACATAACCAAGTATGGCCTCACGCTCGTTGCCACTTGGCATTTTGCTATGGCATTATTGGCCATTTGGTTTCTGTCGCACCACTCATGCCTTTTCGCTAGATTTGGCCAGTTCTATAGCTCTTTCTGACCTTGGTTCATGCCAGGGTTCCAAGAGCACCTGGCCTTGGAGGATGGCCCGCGTATCTGGGCGGTTAGGCTCTGGTAACGACCTCTGCGAGGGCAGAGGGCGGGCTGAGACTCGAGGGACGGGATGGAGAGGTCAGAGGCCCCGACTGTCAGCCTGATACAAAGGCGGGACACTACGCTGGAAAGGTTCAGACCGTTTACATCTGATTAATGACGTCAAGGTGTTAATTGGCACTAGAGTATTGGCACCTGATAGGTATGCAAGCCTGCAAGATTTGTTTACGCGTAATTTAGATAAATGCTTTCGTTCGACTGCATCGTTCGACTGCATTCACTTTTACGTTTCACCGTGACTGTTGTCTGTAAACGGTTAACAGCGGTTGGCATCATTTGTGCTACCTCACCATGTCTAATTGCCAGTCAACATTGATGTTCTCCCCACTCCTGTGTGACCTTTGTCGTTCCACACGAGCGGCTGCGCGCGCGTGTTTGGTGTCTGTGTGTGACCCCAGTGACCTTGTGTGCCCCGCGGCGGCAGGGAGAAGAGCCGGCTGTGTGGCCCAGATGACGCCTGGACTGGAAAGCCACCCGCTTGCGGTAAGTCGCCAGGGTATATGTGAGTCGCTCTGTCGCCGCTGGTCCGTGGCGAGGATGGGTGTCCGTGGGATGGCCGCGATATGCGTGACATATACCGGGCCCATTGTAGGCGCCACATGACCTCGGGGGTCATGCATGACATAACGCCAGGGTCGCTAGGTTTACAAAGGGATGGGCTCCTCACTCCACAAATCGTTCATCCGGGTGCAGCTGTTGTGATTTGTGAATGTTTATATTTTTCTGTCTCGCATTCGGTCCTTATCTCGTACTCTCTGTGTTCATATCCCCGTTCTTTTTGTATTATGTTTGTCTTCACCCAAGTAAGCAGTGGCAATAGGTGGTCGATCTCGCAGCACCTCATAGCATTTTTGCTTGTAACATCTGTCTAACACCAAAACACAATCCCACAGAAGTCCAAACACACGTTTTCAGAATTTGGCTCGTTGGCTTATCGGTTTCACATTGCGCTGTAAACTTTGTCGCACCTACAACCATGACCATATGGCACAGTCTGAAATCGCTCGCAACTCGCGTAATGACGCACAAATCCGAGGTAATCGCCGTCTCAATCGCTATTCGTGCCACAATTATCACCTTCTTTACCCGGTGTGAGCCAACCGTTTTGGCCACAAATAGCCTCGCGCCGACAAATACCACACATCTCCCCATTAATCACAATGAAACCCACCAGCACGAACCCCAAATTACTGCGGTATTGCCGTAACCGCTCGGCGCATCATCGGCCGCGCATGGCTGGCCACGAGCCGCCACAAAACTGCGCCTCTCCTCTGCTTTCATAGCCCAAAGCCCTGAAACCCCTGAAACCCTGACCTCTGTCCTCAGTGACGAACGTGGCGCAGGGCAAGCCCGCGTCGCAATCGTCGTCGGCGCGCAGCGGCCCGGCCTCCAACGGTAACGACGGAGACAGCAGCTCACTGCACGACGGCGGCCGGTGCACGGAGACGCTGAACGAGACGTCACCCTGGTGGCGGGTCGACCTGCTGGACAGCTACCCGGTGCAGATGGTGCGCGTCACCACCAGAGGCTGCTGCGGTACGTTCGACGAGGGAGGGAGAGAGGGAGAGTGGAGGGAGAGGGGAGAGGGGAGACTGAGAGGGAGGGAAAGGGAGAGAGGATGAGAGAGGGAATGATGAAATGGAAGGCAGAGGTGGAGAGGGAGAAAGAGGGATCCTTAGCATGTGTGAAAGGAAATGAACGGCGCATTGGATGCTGCCCGATGTGGTCGCGGTACATCGAATCACTGATTTAATTGTTTTATTTGATATTTATACTTAAAAAGTCCATGCAAAAATATGAGTTTCTGAAGTTTTTTTTTTGGGAAAGAACAAATCAGCATGCGATTGAATTTACCTGCTCTCAGCCAACATTCGCCTTTTTAAACCTTTACGTTTACCTCGAAATGGTGCCTCGGTAAAAAATCGGAAACGGTTTCTGTGGTGCTTACTGCTCTTTGGCTAAGATTTCATAAACCAAACACTGGCTGATATAATTTCGCCCTGTGACAAGCAGCGCCGCCGGGCCCGTGCGTGTCTGACCATTGTAGTCCCGGCGATCAGCGTGACTGCACGCGTGTCGGACATTTTTCGGTCCGAGATACCGCGTTTAAAGGTCGGACCATTCGGTCGGGCCACGCCCTAGTAGTGAGTAGTGAAACCGGAGTGCGGGGCCGCTCAACTGGAGGGGTGGAGAGAGCTCATAATAGCCTGACAGCGGTTCGTGCTGCATGCCGTAAATAGGACGAGCGAAACCTAGCTGTTTCAACAGCAACGGTAGGAAACAGCTCAACAGCTAAATTCAGTTATTTATGCATCGTTTCCATGGCTTGTTGCAGATGCGACTCCGATGACTCGCAATTTTTCGTAGCTTCAAGTGACCAGTCAGTGTTGGCCCACATAAGTCGATGTGCTGAGGCTTTGGGTGCTGGTCCTCGTTTGACCTCTGATTTGACCGCTGTGACCCGCAGGTCAACAGCCGATGCAGGCTGCATATGTGCCCTCTGACCTCTGTGTGAATCCCTAGCTCTGATCTGACCTCCGTGTGACCCCTGACCTTTGATCTGTCCTCTATGCGTGACCTCTGCCCTCTGTGACCGCAGGTCAGCAGCCGATACAGGGTTCATATGTGACTCCTGACCTCTGAGCTGACCTCTGTGTATCTGTATAACCTCTGCCCTCTGTGACCCGCAGGTCAGCAGCCGATGCAGGGGGTTCATATGTGACCTCTGTGGATGACCTCTGCCCTATGTGACCCGCAGGCCAGCAGCCGATACAGGGTTCATATGTGACTCCTGGCCTCTGAGCTGACCTCTGTGTATGACCTCTGCCCTCTGTGACCCGCAGGTCAGCAGCCGATGCAGGGTGTCGAGGTACGGGTCGGTACCAGCGACGACCCTCAGCAGAACCGACTGTGCTCGTGGCTCCCGGGCGCGCTGCCCGAGGGTCAGGATCACGACTTTGTGTGCGCGCGGCCCGTGACCGGCCGCTACGTCTACGTCCAGATGGTGGGCGTGGTGGGCGTGCTCTCCGTCTGCGAAGTGGAGGTGTTCACCGCACAAGGTCAGTCGCCGGTCCGCTACCGGGAACAATTACCGACACCCCCGGACGGCGGGCGGGCATTCACCGCGGGCCGCGTAAACACGAGCATTCGCGCCGTTCTGCAGTGCATGATCGATACTTCTCGATGTCGCCTTTTTATTGTTTATATGTAGCAGTCATCAGTTTGCATGAGCTTTCCTGTTCAGCTTTTTACGAGACGTTTATCCAACGGAAGATTTGCTTTCATTATAATTTGGCTCTGATTGATGTTTAAATTTAATGGTAGGTACCATTTCAGAGAAGAGGCCGGGAATAGTCGCAAACAATTGAGCGGTCGTATTCAATGGTCAGAATCTGACGGAAAACGGCCTTTAAACGTGCATATTTCGGTTTTGTGTATTTCAACTTTTGCCTATCGTGTTTAACAGAAGTATCTGACTCGTTTCATAAATGGGTAACAACTTATAATTTATGCATGAGTTATGCTATATATAGTTCGTTCCCTTTCTAACTAGGTAGGTAAGCGTACGCACTTCTACTCACACGCTGTCGCTGTCAGTTTTATCCAAGGTTGTGTGAAAATTGTGCCTGGACCGCGCACAGGTGCTGACATCGACATGTGATGTTAGCTTGGCGTCAGGCTCTCCCGTTTCCACCGGTTCGTTGCAACGGCCAGCGAGAACCAGACACGGCTTATTTTTTACGTTATTGACCTTCAAATCTGAGCTACTCTGTGTCTGGCTTAGCACCGCCACATGCATTTCGTGACTAACTTGGAATATTGTCACCTGGGAACAAAACTGCACCTTATCCTTATCCCATTCCCAACCAGTAAACGCCAGTTTCCACTCCTTTCCATTAGCGATACCTACATGAATGGTATCGCTGTTGACTACACCACGTTAAATAGCCGAAAAGTATGGTTAATTGATTATAACCACAGCAAGAATTATAAGAATTATAACCCTTCCTAATATGATCCCCAGGCCCAGACCAGCTGAGGAAACCGATTATGACTACATACCGTTCACAATTGAGAGACGCGGTGGAACACGAATGAACTGGTATCTTCTAACCTATCGAGAATAAACTGAAGTTGTTACATATTATTATTTTATTAGATATTCTACCTATTTGCTTAACGTTTCACATTTGCCTAATAAATCAGAATAATTGAACCACATATGGGAAGCGAAGCGCTCTCATACGGTATTTCACTGTTACATGGCACCGTAGACAGTAGACACTGCATACCTGCGAGCGTTGGAAATGAGGAAAACGTGCGTTTTCAGCTGACCCCTGAGCTCAGTGACACCAATCCATTTCGCAACTGTCCCCGTCAGCCCTTCAAAGCCGTGTAAGATCTCTGCAACCGGAGTATTTTTTAAAGTTCGGTGCTTGTTGATTCTCACAGAGTAAACGGTCGTAAATAGCGCTTAGCCGATGGGAAACATATTTGAGACTCGAGAGTGGCTCAAGGTTATGTCCACATGTAGCTGCTGGAGGTCAAAGGTCCTTTCACCCGAAGGTGCTCTCAGGACACCTGGCTGCCTCGTGGGAGTTCAAATATTCCATCGCAAATATATTATTCCGATCAGAAGAAGACAAAATCATATCACCGACACCGCAAGTCGTTTTTAAGCCATTCAGTGAGCCCCGTGCAAGTGACGTCCATTGTCCGTTTGCTGCGCTGCACCCCGTGTCGTCTTTGGCTTCGTTTTCCTGAATTGGCGAACAAAGGCGACTGGAGCAGACCCGTCTGCCGACCCCATTTTACGGTGAAGTTTCTGTCATCGCACATACCTCTCCCACATAGTTAGGTGCACCAATGCTTTGGCGAAAAATTACGTCTGATGTAAAAGCTCGTTTCTGAAAGACATTAAATTCGCTTCTGCCAGCCCCTGTCCGAGTCCGGTCTAGTAAGATCCAATGGATCATTACGATAGTTACTTGGCATAAACATTAATTAAAGTTGCAGCTATGTCGACAAACTTTATTCAGTCCCGTGAAGTTAAGATCTTCCACAATCGTGGAAATAATAGATACGTATGGAAGGTTGTGGTCAATCGGTGAACCCAGAAGACTTTTCTCGCAGAATATCCTTTCTCGATGTGCCCACCTTACCGCTCCACCCTCTCGACCCCGGCAGAGTTCGCGAAGGAGCAGTGTGCGCCGAGTGTTCCTCTGGAGCGTCTCAGTCTGTACAACCAGATCTGCTACGAGCTGCACCTCACCGAGGGCACCAACTACCGCGAGGCTCGCCAGTACTGCCAGCGCAACAGCGGCGACCTGGTGCACACCCTGCCCGACCCGGCGTTTAAGTTCCTGGTAAACCAGCTGGAGCGAACTGCAGACCAGCTGACCACCAAGCTGCTTTGGATCGGGGTGCAGAAGGTGCCCGACACCCAGGCCTGGAACTGGGTGAACGGTGAGTGAACGGGGGAGGGGGAGAGGAGTGAGCGAGAGGGAAACGGTGAGTGCGCGGGAGGAGAGAGGGATGAACGGGACAAGAACATTTGGTGAGCGAAAGGGGAGGGATGGATGAGCGAGAGATGGGTCATGAGAGGAAGAGATGAACGGGATTTAGGAATGGATGAACGTCGAGAAAGGAGAAGGTGAAGTGGTAGTGAGGGAGATATGCACTGTTATGAAGTAGAAAGTAAGCGGCAATCATCCGGACAAAATAATAGAAAGGAAAAACGTATTTTATTTTCATGGTCCACAGGCCTCTGTATACGACATACATTGGTCTATGAAAGGTGATAATAACAGAAGACGATTATGCAGGTTGTTTTTAGCCGGGACGGGCCAAAAAGTGGTTGACCTTGGGCGCCTCTGGTAACGGAACGTTTCCTTCTACTCCATGAGACATGAAAGCCGTTGGATAGCACTTAGCGAGAGCCGGAGGTCTGACGTATGGGGAAGGATGAACCACAATAGCATGTTGATGAAAATGAGATAAGGGAGTAGAAGATAAGAGATAGGACATGGAGAGAGAGGGGCGAGAGAGCGAGCAAGCAAAAGGGAGCGAGAGAGATAGGGAGAGAGAGAGAAGAGAGGGAGGGAGGGAGGGAGGGAGGGAGGGAGGGAGAGAGAGAGGGAGAGAGAGAGAGAGAGAGAGAGAGAGAGAGAGAGAGAGAGAGAGAGAGAGAGAGAGAGAGAGAGAGAGAGAGAGAGAGAGAGAGAGAGAGAGAGAGAGAGAGAGAGAGAGAGAGAGGATAATGCCATGAAGCTTTTGCGATATTTAGTTTTGCGAAGTCCCCAGTGACCTCGACCGTCCCTTTCTCTTCCAGGCGACCCGGTGGTGAAGCCCCGCTGGGGCCAGGACCAGCCCAACAGCTACGTGGGCGAACAGAACTGCGTGGTGCTGGACGGCGGCCGTGACTGGCTCTGGAACGACTTCACCTGCAAGATCGACTACCTGCACTGGATCTGCGAATACAGTGAGTGACATCTCACCTCATGGCCTGACCTCTTCCTTCTCCGAGGTTTTGCTTAAAGTTTATGCCTATATTTGACAGTCCAACTGATCTTTCGTGCTTCAGACCTGATCTGACATGACAGTTTAGGTATGTGACAGCTCTTGTGACGCCTCTGATCAAATCTGGGCGACGTTTCGAGCCCTCGGGCTGGTGGTGGTGTTACAGTACCTCAGATATTTGACTGCCTAGTCTGCCTCTGATCTGCCCTGACTCTGACCTCCCGTCCTCTGACTTCCCATCCCTCACAGGGCCTCAGCTGTGCGGCAGTCCGGACCGTCAGGAGAACACCACGGTGGTCGGCACGGACTTCTCAGTGAACCAGACCATCGAGTACCGGTGCCCCGAGGGCTGGCAGCCGATCGGCGACGAGCTGCGCACCTGCAAGGAGGACGGACAGTGGTCGGGCCGGGCGCCATCCTGCCGCTGTGAGCTGGGCAGCATGCTGATGAAAACGGGGGAGGGTAGTGGCCTCATAATGGTGTGCTGTGTACAGCGAGACCGATCGTATCTTGAGGAGAATGTCATTAAAATCGCGCTACTTCCACCATTTTCGTCAGGCTTCCACCTCATCTTGCAAATATTTCGATGCAATAAAACATGTTTCGCCGTTGTGATTCGAACAATGTTTGGCCGTTTACCTCGCTGTTGAACCCGTCCGCTGACCGCGTCTCTGAACCCTCTCCCCCTCCCCAGTCGTCGACTGCGGCCCACTAACCGCCCCTGAGGACGGCAAGCTGTCTATGCTGGACGACCGCACCACGTTCGGTGCTCGCGCCCGGTTCACCTGTAAGGAAGAGCACGCACTGCTCGGAGACCCACTGAGAACGTGTGGCGACGGCGGCAAGTGGACCGGCGAGCCGGCCAAGTGCCTCTGTAAGTACTGAGAGGTGGTTGTATGGATGGGGTAATGGGACAGGGCTGATGACAGCTTGGTGGAGGACGTGTCTTGTATTGAATGCATTTTGACGAACTATTTTTAAAACGTTAATAATGTACTGCTCTCGTATGAAAGTATTGTAGCGTTAGAATGTAGAATTATGACACTTACCCCGTTTACATGAGTCATTCAGCCTAAACGGATATATCCGATTAGCCAGGGAACGGATAAATGCGTTTGCTTTCCCCGACTCAGTTAACCAGTCTCCTCCCTCCTGCCCTCCGCCCTCAGTCGCCGTGTGCCCGGAGCCGGCGGCGCCCGAGCACGGCTCCGTGACGGTGCGCGGTAACCTGACGGCCGGCACCGAGGCGCTGTTCTCCTGTGACCCGGGCCACCAGTTGCTCGGTGACACGGTGACCCGCTGTCAACTCGGTGGCACGTGGGAGACGCCGCCACCCGTGTGCCGCCTTATCGACTGCGGCCAGCCGCCGGAGCCGGCGCACGGCACGCGCACCCTGAACGGCGGCACTCTGCTGGGTGATGTGGCCACGTTCAGCTGCCCAGAGGGGTACACCATGATCGGCTCGAGGAGCAGGAGCTGCCTCAGCGACGGGACGTGGAGTGGCGAGCCAACCCAGTGCAGCCGTGAGTGTGTTGAGAGGGACAGTTTCGGCTGGGATATGTTAAGCTGTGTAGACTGGTGGGCTGCACCGAATGGCCTTCGTGTTTTCGGCGCAGTTAATCGCTAGGTAATTTACACAAAGACGCCACATTTAAATGTGTTGTTTGCCGTATACTCTGATTTCTTTCGGCTCAATGAGTCTTCACTCTTATTGAATCTTATGGACGATTTTTTCTGACTGATCTTTCCCCTGACCTGACCTGTGCCTTGTCCGGCCAGTGATCGACTGCGGCGAGCCCGAGGTGCCTGCTGACAGCTACGTTACCGGCTACGGGTTCCACGTGAACAGCTCGGTCGAATACCACTGCGACGACGGCTTTCTGCTGGAGGGCGAGGCGGTCAGGGAGTGTCGACTGGACGGCACCTGGAGCGGACAGCCGCCCACCTGCCGCTGTAAGTATAACATCACAGTGATAGGCAGTAGGCACTGGCGTATGAAGAACGGGAGCGGGAAAAAGAGTGATAAAATATATAACTGTGCCGTCCATGACCCTTCCTCCATCCGCCCGTGACGCCCCTTCCATCCCTCCCTCGCTCACACAGCTGTGGACTTATGCCGCCCGTTTGCTGATGATAGGTCCGTCCCTCCTATCCTCCTTCCTCTCGTAGATATGGACTGCAGCCAGCCGTTCGCTGATAATATGTCCCTCCCTCCCTCTCTTCCACAGTCGTGGACTGCAGCCGACCGTTTGCGCTGCTGCACGGCGACGTGCAGTACCTCAGCGGCGGCACCTCTCTCGGCTCCGAGCTGCAGTACTCGTGCAGCCGAAACTACCAGCTGGTCGGGGAGCCGATTCGCGTCTGTCAGGCAGACGGCACCTGGTCGGGCTACGCGCCCACCTGTGAGCAGATCCGGTGCGAGCAGCCCGAAAAACCCAGGTGAGAACGCCGCGAGCAGAGTCGTAAGGGGGTCAGGTGGGTAGATTCAGGGGAGGCGCATTGAGGTTGATGATGATCCAGACCAGTCAGGGCTGAGCGAAAGTAAACCATTGCAAACAATTAACAGTTATATAAACGGTGATAATCGGTGACAACCATCCAGATAAAAAGCTAGAGGGCGTGATGAATACCTGGGATTGTGCATCATAACGAGAGTTTAAAACGGATTGTTGAGTTCCCGAAAGTCAGAATGTTAAGCGGGCTGGGCATTATGTTCAAACTGCAGAAATCATTTGGTGACCTTTCCTTCCCTCTCTGCCCACCGCCAGCCACTCGCTGACCACGGTGACGGGCAACGACAGCCGCAGACAGAAGGTGAAGCAGATTCTGCTCAACCAGCGCTTCAGGGAGACGTTCAGAGTCGGCGCCAAGGTCACCTACTCGTGCAAACAGGGATACAAGGTCAGTGGGTGAAAACGTTCGGAGGTCGGGCAAAGTCACTGCGATGTCCAGCTCGAACCAGTGAAATACAACCTGAGCAATACATGGCGACGGTCTATAAATCTGGGAGGCTTGGCGTATATCAATGCCGTCTTAAGTACTATCATGTTGTATTTCAGGGTGTCTATATTCGGCCCACCTGCCGTTCTGATATAGTCCCCCAGTCTCCAGTCCCCTCTGACCCCACCCCTCTCCCCCTCTGACGCCTGCGCCCCCTCCCTGACCTCAGGTGACCGGTGCCGCGGAGCGTACCTGTCTGAACACGGGCGGCTGGTCGGGCCTGCCCCCCTCCTGTGAGTTCGTCGACTGCGGTCCACCGCCGCCACCGGTCATCGGCAACGTCAGCCTGCCGTCGCGCGCCACCTTCTACGGGGCTGTGGCGGAGTACTCGTGTCCGGATAAATACCAGCTGGTTGGAGACGGACAGCGTGTCTGCGAGGGAGAGGGAGCCTGGGGCGGCGAGCTGCCCACCTGTGAAGGTAGGAGGCGACGGCGATGTGGAATACTTCACGGAGTTGTGATGTTGACGGTCTTAAATGCATCCTTAGCTGTAATTGAAGTGGGCGATTACATGCATGTAAATTGTGAAGGCCTATCTATCATAAGTTGATCTTTCCTAAATCCAAAATACATGAAAGTGTTGGCTTTCGTAATGACTGCACTACCATCCATCCGAGCACAATTATAGCCGCAATGATCGTAGCTATTTCAAGCTTGTTTTATGGTGACTATTCGATTTGTATCACCTGATTTCGGTCCATAGCTGCACCGGGTCTGACTACCGTCTGTCTCTCCCTCCGTCCAGAGGTGGACTGCGGCACCCCGGAGCGGCCCGAGGAGACCCTCTCCGTGTCGACCTCGGGTCAGCGGGTGGGCGACCTGGCCACCTACAGCTGCGTGCCCGGCCACCGGCTGGTCGGCGCTGCGTCCCGCACCTGTCTGGCCACCGGCGGATGGAGCGGCGCACCTCCGCGATGCCAGGGTGAGATGTCGGCGGGAAATCACAGACGAGAGAGGATCTGGGTGGTGGGAAGTAGGTGCTGGCATATCCTCATGTCAGTGTGCGCTTAGCTGTCCGGCATGCAGTACACATGCTATGTAGTCAACGGTGTCTGACGGGGCGCATGTCGAAAGTACGGCAACCAAATAATAATTATTTTGCATTTGCACTCCGTCTTAGGACCATCTAACATGCATGAGTCTAACATTAGTTGGTCTGGTCGTTCCATCAGTTTTTGTGCTCTTTGAGTTCTTAGTTTTGAGGAATAGTCAAAGGTAAAACGCTTCATCATTCACGCCATCAACTGCGAGCAAATGAAAATGTAAGCGTGCCATGCGGCACAGTCTACCTTCAGGCGCTACCACTAGCGACATCTATGGACGCCGCAGTAAGTACACGCCGTTGTGCGGTACAGCATACCCATCAGGCGTTTTCCTCCCCGCGGCCCGCCGGATTTTAACACCAACTGTGCGGTAGCCGCTAACCCACACCCCTACTTGTCCCGTGCGGCAATGGTGGATTGTATAACGTATCGTCAGTCCCTGCCCCATGTTAAATGTATCGGCAGCGAAATAACCTAGCCTAGCCTCTCCCTCTCTAGTCTCAACCCGATAGTTGTATGCAGACTGTGTGAACCGCCCCTTTTTGTGGGTACTGACAATAAAGTGAACTAACCCTCCCCTCCCCCGTTGATGGCTGTACGGTAACCCTCCCCTGTCTCCCAGTTGTGGACTGCGCGCCACTACCTACCCTCGAGAACGGCCGTGTGTACAGTCTGAACGAGAGCACCGAGTACGACACGCTGGTGGAGCACCACTGCTTCCCCACCCACCGGAGGAGAGGACCGTTCCGGCGGCGCTGCACGAGGGACGGCACCTGGTCCGGCATGAGCACCGTCTGTGTTCGTGAGTTTATTAGCACTCAGCAATCATTGGGGGACGGGGTGGTCAGAAGAGCGAAACGGGAAGGTGGGAAGTACTGGGAGTTATCCGGCATGAGCACCGTTTGTGTCCGTGAGTGGCTCATTAGTCAGTACACAGTACAGTGATGTACACGGGAGACTAGGGAAAATGGTAGGCAGTGGTCAGTAAAGCGGTAGGAAGGTAACGAGAATTGGGGTCTCTGTCTGGGAGGTAGGGAGCAGATGGGTGGGAGGGTCTACGGGGTTGATAGAAGTAAGCCAGGGGAAGCGTTGTATAAAAAGTCGCATACAGAGGTAGGTACTGAGAGTTTGAGAGTGTGAAAGTTGGGAGGAAGAGATAAATGAAAGAAGGGTCGGGCGGAAGGGAGGGAAGGAGAAGATGGCAGTGTTATGGTAAGATCGACACGTTGGAAAGTGGAAATGACATTCCAGAGTCAGACGGACAGCTGAAATGCTGTGTTTTTATCCCTGATAATTTGGAGCGATATACAATGTAATTGGCACCAGCCTGAGTCTAGCGGAATTGGCTAAGCAACGGGTTTTCGCACCCATTGTTTTGAGGAGCATACAGGGCCCTGTTTTGTTCCATGCCTATTTAGGCTGGCTGCAAAGGTATAGCGTTGATATTTTTCCTTTTCCATTGTTAAATCAAGGAAACTTTCCACCACTACCGTCGTCGAATCAGCATCCTGCTCACGCTGCCCGCTCGTGTTCCTAGCTCGCACCCCACAACTGGACTCCACGGAGACAGTGCCTGTCGCCGCCGAGCCGGGCGGGCCTGCTGGTGACTCCGGTGACGTCAGCGACTCCAGTGACGTCAGCAGCGCGGCGGGCGCGGCCGGCTCTGCCGAGCAGAGGGACCAGCAGGCGCGCCACATCACCGGCGCCTGGACCGGCTCCGCTGTCGTGATATTCCTGGTGGCGGCAGTGCTGGTGGCCGTCTTCTGGCTTAGAAGGTAAGGTTGGACTCCACGAGGGACAAATCTGGAAAACCCTTTTCAAGTGTTCCGTAAGGTCTTGACATTTCCAAAGCAGTAAAGGCAGATATGCCCGAGAGAACTGCAGAGCTCAATCGATCAGTGTTGTTGGTCTTTTCATGGACATTTATGCCATCATTGCGTCACTTCCCTATGCTTGAACATGGCACCACACTTCACATTGCCATCTTCTTTCTGTTCCCCAGACGTAAGCAGGCGGAGAAGAACTCGTCCAACAACCACTCGCTGGAGGAGCGCCAGGTGCCCATCACCACCCTGCCAGGGATGGCCGTCTACGCGGTACCGGCCGACGTGCGGCCCGGCGAGGGCATCCAGACGCGACCGCTGCCCTCGCGTCCCAACGAGGAGCCCATTTACAACGAGGCGGACGACAGCTTCTCCTCGGGACCGGACAGCTTCACATCGGAGCCGCCGGCGCCGGACAACACGTACGCCAACCGAGACGCTACCTATGCCAACGGGCTCCACCACGGCAGCGTCCTCTATGAGAACGGTGTGAGCGACGCGAGCGCCACCTACGCAAACAGCGGCTCCGAGACGGGCGTGAGCGCGCCGAACGGGCGGCCGGGCTCGCGCGACAGCGGCACGCACAGTCCACCCGTCACGGTGAACGGGATGCAGATGTGAGTGGATTGATACGATGGTCTCTTGAACACTGTATCCGGACTCGGACACGGTATCCGGACCCGGCCGTGGTAGGACACAGGCCGAGTTATGAGCGATAAATCTGTGATTATGCTAGAGGGCGGCGAGCCGGCAGGACTGCAGTGAGCGTCCTGCACTGCTGGATCCAGCTGAGGACTAAAATGCCGCACCGAGAGACGGTCGAGCGGACAGAATACGAGATAAGATTATAGAGAGTGAGGCGATGGATAATGCTGAGAATGGCTGTCGGCAGTGGACTGGGAGCGTTTAGGCTATCAGTCGAGAGCCTGATGACGGACCTCATTGCTGAAACTGGTGAGCGGGTTGAAGCGTTCAGAGTTGAGGGTCGGGACCGTGAAACGTTGTTCGCCCATAGTCGTGAGCTTAGTGACGCGTCTGTAATGCCGGGACTGGCTAACGGAGTGTTCGCTCTTCAAGGAGCGGTCATAGACTGAAGGGTTCATAGTCAGGGGAGAAATAAGACCGGCCGCGAGACACGGTCTTCTCCGCCCCTCCCCCCCCCTCCCGATTACCATAAGTCCACCGTCCAGGGGTGATCTGGGAGAATACATTACCATGACAACCATGGCATTGTTTGCTGTTGCAAGGTGTATGGATGAGAATGTTGGGCCTCTCCGAACTTCATGTGAATTAGCCTAAACATATTCTGAAAACGACCTATTTCACACTGGTAATATTTATTACCCATAATCGACTTACTGAAAACGGTACCACCTTTATCCATGTTGTATCGATTCACAAAATGTGGTGTAGAATACAGCGATTAAAATATACTTGATATACATTAAATAAGCATTGGTCAACTTGACCATCACAACTCACAACACAGGCACAATATCAACAGCATCCTGGAAATCGTAGCCATTTAAGGGCAACAGACTACAAACTTAATTTAGCGTGAGCAAAGCAGTGCAAAATAATTGTAACAAACTTAACCAAGCATGGCTACCCCAAAATATCACACAAGTATTTGGGAAACAGCTATGGCCGATAGAAGAAATTCCTACACCACTGGTGAAATGCAAAAGCCTCAAGGCATCATGTAACTATTGTAACAGAACAAAAAATTCCTGTAACAAAAAATGCCCCGACGACTGAAGGGTGCCGCTAATACCAAGCTGGTCGGACAGAGAGGGGAGGAGAATAATGACATCTTGTACCCGCTCCATCCCCGCCCAGCTAAGATCACTGACCTCTGACAGCTCCGGTGTGCCGCCTGTGACCGGTCAGCAGAGGTCACTGACCTCTGTCGGCTCCACCGCCGGCAGAGTACAGGTCGGCGGCCGGGGGACAACCCTCTATCACAGCTGGTAAGGCAGGGCGGCCGCCGGCGGCCCGCCGAGCGCCTCTCTCTCCCTCTCTCTCTCTCTCTCTCTCTCTCTCTCTCTCTCTCCCTCTCCCTCTCTCTCTCTCTCTCTCTCTCTCTCTCTCTCTCTCTCTCTCTCTCTCTCTCTCTCTCTCTCTCTCTTCTACATCACCCGCACATATTACACGTCACATGGCCGAGCAGTGACGTATCACATCAGTCATCAGTCTGTGACGTTCCGCGACGAACACACCTTGCGATGAAGACCAATCGTCTCGATCCGTACCTTTGGCGGTAGTTGTCGGCACGAACGTCATCCTGTGCCGTGAAGGCTCCCGTACAGGGGTTATCGCACATGGTTCGCCGGCTTGGGCCGGACACGGAGGACGACACAGGGTGGTTCACCACGGCACAGTGTAGCCGGTCACCACGAGAGCTGCCGCCTTTGACCGATCAGCAAAGGTCACTTACCTCACTGACCTCTGAGCATGCTGACCCGCAGCGTGGACTTTCACTCGTGCTTAGCCGTCAAGTTCACTGGAGAATAGGATTCATCGCATTGCACACGGCTCACCAGGTAGCAGCGATTCATCGCCATAGTCATATTCTCCGCGGCGCACCCGGCTCACTGCGGCCCGCCGGACCATAGGTGCAGGTAGCCGGCCCAGCCCTGCTCCTTCGCCGCCGTGTCGCCGCCCGTGGCCACCTTGGTCAGAGCAGCCACCTCCTGCGGGCTCAGCTTCAGCATAGTCGTGAGCACGGGCAGCAGCCGCGTGCGCTCGTCGCCCTCCTTGAGCGTCACGAACTTGACGATGACGTTCTTGAGGTACTCCATCTGGTTGAGGTGCTGCTGTCGCTCCTCGGATCGCTCGGCGCGGCGAATCTCCTCCTTCAGCGCGTCACAGAGCTGCGTTAGTTTGGCGTTGCTGGCCTCCGACTCATGCAGCAGCGCGGAGAGGTGCTGCTCGGTGAGCCGGCTGGCATTCAGCTCCGTCTCGGCGGCCACCAGCCGGTCGCGGTCGGCGGTGGTGAGCTCGGTGGCCTGGCTCACCATGCTCACCGAGTCGTCAGCGGCGCTGAGCAGCCGCTCCAGCGGCAGTAGCTCCGGCTCGCGCGGCGCGCCCGCCGGCTGAGGGGTGACGTTCTCCGATCCCTCGGCCGCCTCGCGCTCCATACTGCTCACGTCGATAGGTGACGGCGCCAGTTTGTGGTGAGTCCGGGCGGCGGCGGAGGGAGCCGGAGCGGGGGCAGCGGCGGCAGCGGATGCGGCCCGGCGCAGCGCCACCACCTCCTCCTGTCTCTCCGTTAGCTCGGCGCGCAGCCGCTCCAGCTCCGCAGAGAGCCGCGCGACGTCCGCCTGCAGTCGCTCCGTCTGCGCCGCGCCCGACGACTCGCTCAGGCGCCGCTCCAGCGCCGCGATCGTCTCACCGCGCTGCTCCACCGTCTTGGCCAGCTCGGCGCGCGTCCGCTCCAGCTCTCGCCGCAGCCCGGTCTCCGCGCGTCCCGTCTCCTCCGTCAGCCGGCGGAGTCGCTCCTCGAGTCGCCGCAGCTCCTCCTGGAGGGCGTCCCGCTCGGCGTCGCCGGCCAGCCGCTCCTGACGCAGCTGCTCTACCTCTCGCTGCAGCGCCTCGATGCGCTCCTCCTTGAGTCGCAGCGCCTCGCGCTCCTCGCCCTCGGCCTCTGCGCGGCGCGCCGTTTGTGCCTTCTTGAGCACGGCCTTGGCGCGCACCTTGTACTGCTCGAACTCGCGGCGCGCCGCCTCTGTGTCCTCCCGGGCGGCGGCCAGCGCCGTCTGCAGGCTGGCCACCTGGCTCTCGAGCGCCTCGGCACGCCGCTGCAGCGCGCTCTGCGTCTGACTGAGGTCAGTGGTGCTGCGCGCCGACTCCGAGAGCGCCAGGTTCAGCGCCTCCTTCTCCTATGGGTGGGGAAGGACAGCATGGGTGAATAACTAAGCAATTCCCATTCTGCCTTGAATCGTCAACAATTTAACCCTCGCATGTGTGCGGCGTTTGCCAGCTTCTAATGTGTAGGGGGGGGGGGGGGGTCGGTTGGACCCCCCCCCCCTTGCCGTTTGGCCCCTGATCGAGCTAGAGCTTCGCGGAAAAAACGAGCGTGTTGCCCGTGACGAGAGGAAGCCGATGATACCCAATTTTAAGGTCCTAGGTCATTGGTTGACCTTCCAGGTCAGGTCAATGACCCAAAGTCGGGAAAATCGGGACCTGTTAGAAAGTCGTAAAGTGTGGCTGCTAAGAGGTTTTTCGGGATGCTGATCACGAATATCGTGTTAGTTTTGATCACAGATGATGTCTTGAAGCATTTAGACCAGGTCGGGTCAGGTCAGGTCAGGTCAACCAGTAGGCGTCGTGACGGGTATTCGTAGTACGTGTCAACCGCCTCTGACAGCTTCGTAACATGTTACGAAGTCACCAAAACTACTTCGTAAATGTTCAAATGGTTGCTAAATTCGAATTCAGCTCCAAAAACTAGCCTAGAAACATGAAAAACTCGAAAAAGTGACCCGAGGTCACCCGAGGTCACCAAAGGTCAATGACCTGACCTGACCTTCAAGTGACCTTGACACACACGGGGGAACATCAAATCACATGTTTCAACGTTTGAAACCACGAAAAGCTTGCAAACACGCGGCTAGTGCGAGCCGACATACGCGAAATCGCGATTCCGGCCAAACATGGTCTCGGAAAAGAGGTCACAGGTCAAAGGTCATTTGGGTCAGGGTCATGAAATTTTCAGGGTAGGTGTAAAATTGATCAATGTGAGGGTACTGAAAGTTTCGTCGCGATCGGCCGCTTTTTACGCGAGTTATTCGCGAAAAACCATGGGGGGTCCATCCGACCCCCCCCCCCCTACACATGCGAGGGTTAAGTCTTGGTAATATCTCGTATATGACGGTACACATAGGAAGGCAAATCCTATTGTCATCTGTCAAACTCGATCGCCAGCAAACCATGCCTACGGAACCTGTCCATTAAACTCCCCCGACACAAGGCTCCTCTTCTGACTGGTAGTGTCGCACACACCTGTTTGAGCGTCTCCACGTCGCTGCGGAGCGCGTCGGCGGCCTTCTGGTGGGCCTGATCACGCGCCTCCAGCTCCGCCTTACTGCTCAGAGCCTCACGAAGGTTCGCCTGAGGACACGGGCAGAAAAATACGAACATGATTAGAAGACAGGAAGAGTTCCGACACCAAACTGCAGTATAAAACAGTCATCTACGTACAGTATAGTACAGCGTAAATGGACCAGTCACTCAGCAACGTCAACAGCATCGGGCAAATAATAGATGTGCCTCACAGCTGAAACCGCCTTAAGCAAACTTCAAATAAAAAGAAAGCGTGGGGCCTTGAAACCGACCGCAGTTTAGGTGGACGCTCCCAGTCCCTCACTCGGCGATGCCAACCCGTGCCCACTGCGGTAATTACCTTGAGCTGTGCGTTGCGGGCCTGTTCGCGCTGCAGCTCGTCGTTGGCCAGCTGCAGCTGCTGCTCGGCCAGCTGCTGGGCATCCTCAGCCAGCCGCCGCTGCCGTCCGGCCTCGGCCAGCTGGGCGGCTGCCGTGTCGAGCTCGGCGCGCAGCTGGTCGGCCGTCAGCTGCAGCTGCTCCAGCTGCCGGCCGTCGGCCGAGTGCCGCTCGCGCTCCAGCTCCAGCCGGTCGAGCTGCTCCTGCAGCTGCTGACGGTCGCGCCGCTCCCGCTCGGCCCGTCCGTCGGCCTCCCGGTGCCGGGCCTCCAGTCGCGCCCGCTCCGTCTCGGCGGCGGTCCGCTCGGCCACGGCCGCCGACAGCTGTCCCTCCAGACGGGTCTGCGCCTCCGTCGCCGTCTGCGTGTCAGCAGGGTGAGAAGGGTCAGTCAGCGGGTGACTACAGACCGTGAGACGGCAACAGCGTGACTACAGGCTACATGGTTACACAAATAAAACCAAAACACGCGTTTCATGCAAAAAAAAGACTTGTCAGATAGCCGTAACTTCCCGCAAACTGCATATAAAACACAGACAACGAAATTAGCGTTCCTTCCCATACCCAGCGCCATCATTTTCCCAGCACCCAGCCGTGTTCGCCGTCCCTCCAGCTACCAACCAGTACCACCCACGGACCTTGAGCTGTGCCTGCGCCGTGTCTCGCGCCTCGGCCGTCTCGCAGAGTTCCTGTTTGAGTTGGCTGAGCTGCTCGCCGGCCCGGGTCACCTCTCGCTGCAGCTCCTTGTCGCGGGCGGTGAGAGAGTCCATCTCATCCTGCAGAGAGTCGTAGCTGGCCTGCAGCGCCTGGGGATCGGGGGACACAGTGGATGAGGTGGTGGACTAGGCAATCGTGGAAGGACAGCTGAATGAGCGAGAGAGGCTTCAACAGGACTGAAAGAGTTGTTTAGTTATAAACTAAGAAATTAGACACCAACTAGGTACTTACTCAATTAAATAAATCCCGTGTGAAGTGAAATAATTGCCTCAATCATTCTGAAAATGATACAACATTTTACGTTAGAGCTGCGGCACTCAACACGTAAGTCGCCGACAGAATATTATGCAACGATGCTCTCCATTGCGATCCTTGACGCCCCCTTCCCTTCCACCTTCCCCTGCCGGTCTCACCTGGAGGTTCTGCGCCTGCAGCCGGAGCGCGGCCGCCTCCTTCCTGCTGGCGGTCAGCTGCGCAGTCGCCTGGCCCAGTTCGGCCTGCAGCTTTTGTCGCTGGTCCGCCTCACCGGCCGCCTGGGCAGTCAGTTGAGCCACGCGCTTCTTCAGCTTCACGGCCAGCGCGCGCAGCTGAGGACACGGGCGGAGAGAGGGGTGAGAATGAGGTAGAGGCGTGAACGAGATCACGGCCATCAGTATCAATTGGTGTCTGTACACAACTGCCCATACTCAGTCAATAGGACGCAGACACATGATTGATCGGCATGCCCTTGATCGTAACTTCGTCACGGTTGGCACTCATGGGGCCAGTCTACAAGGCAGTCTTTGATGACACTGGCCTTGCTCACCTTGTGGTAGCGTTCCTCGATGCTGTCCTCGACGTCACGCATGCGTGACATGTCGTCGGCTCGGCTCAGGGCGGTGCTCGTGCTCAGCGTCTCGCTCTGAGTCTCCGACTGGGGAGGGGAGGGGGAGGGTCAGATGACTGATCAGTGATCAATTAAAGGTTAAAGAGAACGACGAATAGCTAAACATTGAAAAACGAAAAAAACTGTCATCCGAAACCAGACACGGTCATTAAAAAAAAAGTCAACGTTGCTCAAACACATGACCCAGGTGCACCTATCCCCGCTACACGAAACGATTCCGTAGCTTGAACACGTTCTATCCTCGATTCTAGTAAAGCGCACTGTGAGATTCCTATCTATCGGACCATTTTCACCATGCTCACCATGTCTAGCCGGGAGACGGGCGGCTCCGGGCGCGGAGTGCTGCAGCTTTCCATCTCCGACAGCCGCGTCTGGAGGGCGCCCTTCTCCGCCTCCGTCTCTGCGAGTCGCGACTGAAGACCTCTCTTCTCTTCCTCTATCTCAGTCAGCCGCGTTTGTAACCCGTCCTTCTCAGTAGTCAGCTTCTCCAGCTGTTCCTTCAGCTCACCCAGCTGTTGCTGCGCCTCCTCCGTGCGGCCCCGAGCCTCGCTGAGCTGTGTCTCGGTCTCCTGCTTCAGTGCGCCGTCCGCCGCTTCTCTCCTCTCCAGCTCGGTGGTTCGGTCAGCCAGCTGAGAGGTCAGTTCGGCCACTCGCTGTTCCGACTCCGCCAGCCGCGTCTCGGCGGCGGACTGAGCTGCCCGCAGGTCGTCGTGGCGGGACGATAGCGAGTCATACTCCTGACGGAGCTCATTGAGCTGTGTGTCGGCCTTGGCTTTCTCCTCCTTCAGTGCGGTCAGCTCGCAGCCCAGTGCACTCCTCTCCTCTCTCAGCGCCGTCAGTTCGCGTTCCGCCGTGCTCCGCCCCTCCGTCAGGGCCGCCACCTCTGACCGCAGCGCGGCACCCTCCGTCTCCAGCCGAGCGATGTTCTCCCTCAGCTCAGTTCGCTCCCTCTCCAGAGCCTGTACCTCCTCCCGCGCCGTGTCCTGGCCACTGGTCAGGCCGGCCAGCTGAGTCCGCAGGGCGGCATGTTCACCCGTCATCCGCTCCAGCTGCGACTGCAGGCTGCCGGTCTCGGAAGCCAGCTGTTTGCGCAGCGCGCGGTTCTCCTGCTCGACCTGTGCGAACCGCGAGCTGGGAACGGTGTCTGCCCGCAGCTGCTGCAGCTCGGCAGCCGTAGCACAGTTCTCCTCCCGCAACCGCGCCAGCTCTGTCTGAAGCTCGGCAGTGCGCGAGGTAAGCTCACCGTTCTGAGTCTGAAGCCGCTCTAATTCCGCCGCCAGTCCCTCGTTCTCGGTCTGGAGCTCGGAAAGGCGTCCCTCCAGGACAGAGATTTGTTCCGCCTCTGCGCCTCCGGTCACATCACCAGAAGTCGCCTGCTTTCCCTGTGGAGCGGCCGAGCCCAGCGCTGGGATAGCCGAGGACAATACCACCTCCTCCGCCACCTGCCCTTCATCTGCCGACGAGCCGCCCGCCACAACGTGGTCCCCGTTGGTCTGAGCGGGCGGGCCGGCCGCGGTGGACAGGCCGTCACACTGCTGTATCTGCGCCTCGAGCTGGCCTTCACCGGCCTCCAGGTCGTGTATCGTCTGTTTGAGCTCCTCGCCTTGCTTCTTCAAATCTTCAGCAGTGTGCTTCAAGAGATCACTGTTCTTGGCATTAGCAGCGCTGTTTTCAGCTTCTAAGCTCTCGGTTTTGGCTCTCAGAGCAGCATTCTCTTTTTCGAGTTCCTCTATCTTGTCATTTAGCGTGCATTCTTTTTCCTCCGCCTTCTCTGCTGCTGCGTGAAGCAGATTGTTCTGGTGGTATACATCGTCCGCCCCAGCCGCTTTGATACTGAGCTCCGTCTTCAGCTCATTTATCTCCGACTCTAGGGCGTCCTTCTCAGCCACCAGAGCCTCCGCGCGCTCCCCACGGTCCCGGCCGGCCTGCTCGGCAGCGGCCAGCTCGTCCCGCAGCGCTCCGAGCTTCCCCTCCAGCTGAGCCACAGTGACCTTCAGTGTCCCGTTCTCCGCCTCCAGAGTGGAGACCATGGTCATACTCTGCTCGGCGCCGGTCTCCAGTTCGGCTAGTTTCAGCTGCAGGCCGTCTCGGTCGTCCCGGACCGCCGTCAGTTCCGTGGTCAGCTCGTCCACTTGTGCGCCGAGCTCGTCCAGCCGCGCCGCCGCCGTCGCCGCCTCGTCGTGCAGCGTCGCAGCCGCTTCATCGGCCTTCTTCAGACGCTCTTCGGCCGTCTCCAGCTCCTTCAATGTGGAACTGTGCTTCTCACGGAGGGCAGTTAGTTCGTCGTCCGTTCCTTGTGATGCGGTCAGCTGTTCCTGAAGAGCGTGATCTTTCTGCTGAGACTCTTTTAGCTGAAGTTCAACGGCCTCATATTGCTTTCGGAGTGTGTCGACTGTTTCCTGCGCCGCATTTAGCTCATTTTGCGCCTTTTGAGCCGATTCCAACTCCTTCTGAAGAGTGCATTCCTCCTCCTGAGCCTCTTTGAGCATTATCTGAGTTGCTTCAACTTCCTTTTGAAGCGCGTCTGCTCTCTCCTTGACGGTTTCCAGTTCCTTCTGCGTCTCGTCAGCCGCCTCTACCTGTCTCTGCAGCTCCTCCACTCTCTCCCGCGCGGCACTCAGCTCACCCTCTGCCTTTTTGGCGGCGTCCAGCTCCTGTCGCAGAGTGTCCAGACTCTCCTGCGCCGTTCGCAGATCCCGCTGGGCGGCGCGGCCCGACTCCACCTCCTTCTGCAGCGTCTCCAGACCCTCCTTCAGCGCCTCGGCTCTCTCCCGCGCCTGGGCCACCTCCGCCTGCACGTGACGTGCCTCTTCAGCCTCCTCCTGCAGCGCCTTTACCTCCGCCTGCAGCCGCTCGGCGCGCTGCTGCGCCTCCGCCAGCTCGGTCTGAGCGCGCCCGGCGGCCGCCAGCTGCTCCTCCAGCCGCGAGATGGTGCCGCCCCGCTCCTTCAGTGCCTCGTTCATGGCGTTCATCTCGTCCAGTAGGTGAGCGTTGCGCTCCTGCAGCTCCTGCCGGCCCTGCTGCAGCGCCGCCAGCGCCTGCTCCGTCTCGGCGGCGCGCGAGGCGGCCGTGTCGCGCTCCGCAGACAGCGCGGCCTCGCGCTCCTGGCCGACCTGCAGCAGGTCGGCCGACAGCTGCTGCAGCGCCGCCGCGTGGCCCGCGGCCTCGCTCACCAGCCGGCCGTTCTCCTCACGCAGCTGTTTCAGCGCCGCCTGCAGCTCGGTCTCGCGAGCGACCAGCGCCTCCACTCGCTCAGTGGCTGCCTGTCCGGCCGTCTCCAGCGCAGCGCAGCGCTCGGCGTCAGTGCGGCGCAGCTCGTCCAGCTCGTCCAGCCGGGTCTGCAGCGCAGCGCAGCGGTCGGAGGAGGTCTGCAGGTCAGCGCGCAGCTGCGCAGCGTCCGCCCGCTCCTGCTGCAGCTGCTGCCAGAGGACATGCGGCGGCAGACCGGGCTGCTCCGTCTCAGCCGCCGCCGTCTTCGCCCCGCCCGCTGAGTCTGCCATCTCCGCCGCCGGTGGCGCTGTCTCCTCAGCTGCAGCGCGTGCCTTCTCTACCGTCTCCGCCGCCGGTGGCGCCGTCTCCTGAGCCGCGCGCACCTCCTGCGCCGCCTTCTCTGCCGCCTCCAGCTGAGTACGCACGGTGGACAGCTCTTCGACTGCCTCGCGCCAGCGCGCCTTGAACGTGTCTGCCATCTCCTTAAACGGCAGCAGGTCCTCCTCGGTGGCCGCGGCGGCAGCCTCCGCTCGGCGCCGCGCCTCGTCGGCTGCCTCCAGGCGCGCCAGCAGAGCCTCGTTGTCCGCCTCCAGGCGGCGGCCGGCGCGCTCCAGGCCGGCTGTCAGCGTACTCTGGCGGTCCAGCTCACCGCGCAGTGAGAGGCGCTCGGCGGAGCCGGCTGCCAGCTCCCGCTCCAGACGGGACACCTGACAGAGGGAAAGGGGTCACTCAGGATGGAGAGGGCGTCACACTGGTCACTGTCACGCCGTAATGTTTCTTTTTTCATATACATACGGTACTAGAACCAGACACGTTGGAAAAAAAATAACTAGTAACTACACGTCATTTTCCTCCGTGGCTGCAGCGAATCATTCCCACAATATTGTCAATGGTGCGTACTCCTGAACTGAAGCGAGTCCCGAAGTGTATCATGTTTCCAAAAATCATGTTCAAATACCTTCTGTGCCAATCTTAGTCAGTTGCCACAATTTATGAGGCGAACTACCATCAAGTCAACTTATCGACATGTATTTCAATGTGAGGCCCAGTCCAGCACCGGCGAAATCCCAGCTGCAGTCCCCGATACTGGCAATATCGCAGCACACTACCGCTCTTGGTCTGTCCCAGTCAGCGTGTGTGTGTGATCGATTTGTTGGCGATAAATTGATACCAGCAGCTGTATGTAACAACATTTGTGCATGTGGTGCCACCCGCGGCTGCCGCCTGGGCGCGGGACGAACCACGAGGGTCACAGGGTGAGCCAACCGGGCAGTAGCACCTGTCGATTGGTGACTAGCTACACAGGTGGTTACTTATGACGTGAATACCGCTGTGGTGTGTGACTAAAGCATGTCCATATTGTTCCAGGGCAGCTTGGACGGCGGTCCACGAATCCAAGTGCCGAAATAGTTTAAAATCAAAACGACCACGACAGATCGTCAAATTCACGATTCTGTGTTTTTATTTATCATGTTCTTATACAAAGCCAAAGTGGGAATAACAGCTTGAATGCGTACACAGCCGACGATCTCTTAATTTTCCATCTGCCGGCGCCTGTCAATGTTGACAGGAGTAATCGATGTTGACAGGTGTGAGAAAATTGGTTCCTGGCTGCAGATAATCGCGAGTACAATAAGGGCATAACGCAAAGCACACCTCACGGAACAGAGAAACAAATGACAGTGACAGAATGACAGACGAACGCTTGTTCTCTCCTTCTCTCTCCTTCTCTCTCTCTCTCTCTCGCTCTCTCTCTCTCTCTCTCTCTCTCTCTCTCTCTCTCTCTCCGTCTCTCTATCTCAACCTCTCTCTCTCTCTCTCTCTCCCTCTCTCTCGCTCGGCACCTCCCCGGTCTGACAGTGTTCCTAGCAGAAGAGCAGAGCCTCTCCCCAGGGGCATCTCCATAATTACGCATTTCCAGAGTTCCATGACCCATGGCCTCAAGAAGCGAGCGGCGCGGACCAGCGCGGACGCTGCGAGGTCATTGTGCGTTTCAGCGCGTCGAGGAGATGGCGTGCCCACGCATTTACATAACCTTAGGAAGTAAAGGTACACCTGGTGTGGTTTCATCGCTGTATTATCTGCACACCACAAGGTAGCTTTTGGATATACAGCTTGAAAGAAAGGGCAGTTGAAAAAGTATGATCAACTTTCGTATCTATCCTACCCCATTTCATCAACAGGTCTCAGGGAGGGGAAAAGGTGACTATGCTTGTGTTCACAGCTGTTGGCTCCGGTGCACATATCCTGCTATCAACAGGTGATGGCCGATCAGAATCAGCTGCAACATCGGTGCCAGATAACGAGCGGCAGCCCTCGGTTGCGGGAGGGTCGTACACTGCTCAGCTCTGACCCTGAGCGCGCGCTGTCAGCTCTGGCTGGAATGGAGCGGACAGACCATGGACAGTGCATGATTTACATGCAAAGCAGCAATGCCGGCTCTTCGGTGCGACCGATTTCTTATCAACTCAACTCGTATCTTCTGCACACCTACTTCTGCACAAGTATGAACTGAGAGACAAACCGAACGACCGAGGTGTTGCTTTCGCGGTCATCGAGGGAATGTGAGATGAAGGTACCCCGTCTAACGATTAATTATGCGAACCGTGAAATGGCGATATCCTGTTATTGGAACAGTGTAACAAAAATATTCCAGATAGGCAGTCGCGCAGTGGATAGACAGTCGGAAATAGGGACCGCTGGCGCAATGCATCGGTACTTTTGCAGCAACAAGACATCGAGTGAGTTTCGTGTTATCAACATCAGGAAGGGTGATGAGGAATACACATTTAGAAGGTACATGGTTATGTCCGAGCGATAATTACGGCGTGGCTGTTCAGATACGCGACACACAAAGCACGGCACACTGATTGGAGTGATGGTGCGTTGACCTGAATGTTACGCAGCGACATGTTATTTTGACATGCTTGCGGCAATAGCGGTGACGGTATTTAGATACGCAATTGCAGGTGGCGGCATGTGTAGTTTAAACGTTGTGGGTAGTATGAACACCGGTACAGATTGTTGTGCATTGTTCGATACTCGATAGGGAGCGGATAATGATGCTACATTGCACCATGGTGGTGGTAGATTAGAATATTGCGATATGACAATTGGTAAGATATGTGAATGCTATATATAAATACCATGGCGCCGATCGCCGGCCGCGCCAGCCCCGAGACGGCACGGGCTAGAGACGGGCGCGGCCCTGTGCGGTGAATGTGCGAAGGTATAAATAGGCGCGTTCGAGACCTTCTCGCTCTCTCGGGCTCTTGCTCTCTGGTTCGCGCGCGGGCAGTGGTGGTCCCGACGCCGCCCGTGGTGGTCGCCTTGTGCGTCTGGTCTACAAACATGTAAGTTCTTGGGCCTTATCTCCTGCCCAGTCGGACGTCTCTAACCGGACTCTTGCCAAGCCCTATCCACGCCACTGGTTCCGACCGGCGGAGTGAAAGGGTTAGAGCCTGACTTCGGTTGGGTCTCTGCTGCGGTCGGAGATATGTCTCAGGTACAGACACGCACATATAGTCACACTGGCGTAGGAAACAACACTTCAGGATGGCCGCGGTACTGTGGGCAGTTTTTAAGTTCGATTGATTGGTCTATGCCTTTTTGAGACACCGTGTTTCGGGACTCGACTCAGTCCATTTCGGCACGTTTGGCTGCTATGAGTCAGTTCCACCTCTTTGGCAATATTATTTCGGTGTCATGATTTCGGCTTGATCATTGTTTCGACTTTCATTGAATGTTTCGGCACTTTGGCTATATTTACCTGAACAGTGCACGGTTACCGTGACATTGCTCGTTTTCTGGCTCTTTTTGTTTGAATTGTTCGCTTTTATTTATTTCGGCCTTTTCAATTACAATACATATTTAATATGTATACCTTCTACGTTCTTTCTCGAGGTCGGAAATGACGGTGGAAACGCTGGCAATATGATGATTCGGACACGAACGGGTTTGTGGGATACATGGTTTTTGGTCGATCAGAATACCCCTAGACAACGGCTAAAGGATTGTTGAGTGTTAAGACGATACCCCTAGACAACGATGAGTAGGATTGTGCAGATGACACAGATTAGAATACCCCTAGACACACGAGGAATATTAGCAGAAGTTACCACAACAGCCAGTAGGCGGGCCTGAATCCTTCCACACACCCATCCTTTACCCACTCTACATCCTCATCCTTCTCCCAGTCATCCTTATCCTTGTCCCCATCCCAAACACCACTTATAAATTCACACTGGTGGCTCTGGTCCGGGATGTGATCTTAATCAGTTCGATTAAGAGACCTGGAGATGGGGCATCTCCTTGGCCCTACTGGCTTTTGGTTGTTTAATAGCCTTGTTTATTATTTTGTTTATGGTCATTGCTTCCGGCTCCGAACTGTAATCACCTTCAGTCTGGGCTCGGCCATCAGTGAAAGTGATTGAGGACGGTATGTGTAAAACACGCACAAACAGCTTCTGAGGGTCGGTTAGTGTTCACAGTACCGCGAGCCTAAGGTTATGGTTGAAATTGAAAGTTACTGATACGGAATGGACACAACCATTACACACAGACAACGGGACTGGGAAGGTGCGCGGAGGGCGTTGACCTCTTCGTGCGGCAAGGGTTATAAACACCTGTAGCCATGGGTATTCGGTGCCTTCATTACCAGAAGATATTCTTCGGTAATGGTGCAAATTTGCATGTTGATCAGCTCGATCACGAAGCCTGGATGTGTTCCTGCGTCAGCATGCGGTTAGGAGGTTGTGTGTGCCGGGAGTTGCATCTTGATCTGCTCGATCAAGAGACCTGAGCGTGGTCCGGTGCCGACAGGTTGTTAAAAAGTTGTGTGCGTGCTGAGATTTGCATCTCGATCTGCTTGAGCTGGAGATCTGGAGGTGTTCCGGATTCGTAATGATGTAAGGAAGTTGTGTGGTTGGCTTCTGATTGGGTAGTGTGGTTGGCTTCTGATTGGGTATTTTCATTACAACGCTATTTCTATTAGGTTCGACGTTATTCAGCTGGATTTCGCTCCGCCTTCAAATGCTATTGTAACCGGCACGGTCATTTTTCATGACATTGTAGCTTTCATATTGGGGAAATTTTTTTGGCTAATTTTGCGGTTGTATGGTCCATGATATCTGGAGAATTAAGCTCGGCCAACGTCGGTTTAATTGGTTTCTTAGGGAATTTCGGGCATAGGATCCGCATTCGATAATTTCGTGTGACTTTATTCCGACTTGCATTTATAGCAGCTAGTATCGCCGGGTGACAGCCTGTTCGTTTTTTTTTTCACGGTATAATGGTCGATTAATATTTCGGTTGTGTACCGTACATTGCATCGGATTTCGTCGAAGTTAAAACATTTCTTTGCTGGTTTTATTTGTATCTCAGTTTCCATTTTAAAAGCCTATGATTGTATTTCGGATAACTACGTTTTTTTTTTTCAACAACATCCAATTACAGCATGGGAAGTAACGTTATCTCTTCTCGGTTGGTTTTGTTCCAAGGGCCTATATCGGGCCTATAGTATGGCGATGCCGCGATACAGCAGAGATTTCCTACAAAATTGGTGATATTTTATTTGCCGTCCAATTATTTCAATAGCAGGTATGCTTCGGATGCCGAAACGTTTCACAGGCGACTCTCGCAACTCCACTTTATCGGGGTCTCTGTTGGCGAAAGTGCAGCACGGTCGGTGAAAGCTTTCAGGTGGAAG